CATTTCGCTCTGCAATAGAGTTCAATCCTTTCTATTGAAGTATCAGGTTCTGAGAGATTGGACGCACCCTGAACTTTGCTTACACCTGGTTTTGGTGAGACTAACTGTGCATACATATCAGAAAAGACCATTCAATATAAATAGTACATGTTACATTACAGTATATATAAGCCCCAATGCATTCCCCAACACCAAAATAAAAATGCAGACCTTTGATCTTACATGTAACCTTTGGCAGCTTGCAGCAGGCCAGCGCGCTGGCTGAGTGCAGTACTGTGCCTGTACCGAAGAGCTACACAATATTCTATGCTACTTGTACATTAGCTCAGGGACTAACATGTGGGCAGACAAGCCACAGTTGGCTAATAATAATTCTAGTACTACTATTCAACATCTATTGGAGTATGCCCCGAATAGTAAAAGTCAATATTAGGTGAACCTGGCCAATGGCAGATGTCTCAGTCTCAGTAGAAACATTAAATGAGAACTATGAGGTGAGTGCTTTTCACTCACCTCATAGTTCTAGCCTACCCGTGACAATGAGACTGTCACAGGTCGGCTCAGTAGATCGGGAGGTGAGCGAACACATACCGGCGTTCGCTCACCTCTTGATCCTGTCACGGCTCTCTGCCGTGAGAGGGGAGGGGCTGGATTCCCCCCTCCCCGCTCCGATCCGCCAGCGCTGACTGGTGGATAGGACGGGGGAGGGTGCGGGTACAGCTGGCTATGCCTCTACATAGGCAGAGCCAGCTGTCAGTCACGCAGCTGGGCAGATCCTGGCACACTAGTTTGTGTCCTCCCGTTACCCTAAGGAGAACTATGGGGAAAAGACTTAACCCCATAGTTCTCCTTTAAGGAGCAAACTTCTGACGATTTGCATAATCATTTTTCTTTTGCTCAGCCAATTGATATTAGTGAAGCATACTAAACAAGTGTTTCCTGTTTCTCACAAAAAAGGGCATTATTAGCGTCTATTTCCGCCCCCAAAAAAATAATGAGGTGAACCTTTTGTCAAAAAAGGAGCAAAAGAAAACTTTCCACATATGAATCGCAAATGGAGATTTTCCTTTACAATTTCATGATCTTGTATAGATCACAATGACTATCACCCCCAGCTTGGTCATATATCCTCTCATAGATTTTCAATTATGTGTAAAAGCTTTACCACTTTCCACTTTCCTCATGGCTGTCATGGCCATTCTTTCCTTATGGCCGTCGCATGTGTGATGATGGTCATTTGGATCTATATACGATCATGAAATAGTAAAGGAAAATCTCCTTTTGGGATTCATATATGGACATTTTTCTTTCATCCATTTTTTTCTTTACAGGTGTCTGCCTTATTCCTGAGGAACTAAACCTTGTTATTGAAACATGTTGAATTTTCTTTTATCACCTCCCTTATATGGAATACCATGTAATCTATAATACTATCATGTTATTGAATATGTATTGCTGGGTTAGAGGCTGAAATGAAGAACGTAATTAAATATCTACTATGCTTCATTAATATACATATTTGTAATATTATGAATAAAAAGGATGTTCAATTATATTGATGAGAGTTGTGTGTACCTTAAAATTCTTACATAATATTTTCCAAAAAATGTTGCTAAGATTTTGGGATGTGGCACACTTGATTGCTTTCGACATCCACTACAGTATTTGGATGTAAATGAAGTAATCATTTAAATTTCATAGTTACCTAAAATAAATTGTAAAAGATCTTTTTTGTTTTAATTATATTGTAATTAAGAAGGAAAATGAAATAAAGCACTATACATTCCCTTTAAGTGGTCTAAACTATATGCAATCTGGAAATAAATTAATAAAAGTTCAGAGTGGAGCTAAACCTTGTAAGCTAAAATGCGTAGAGCGAATCGGGATGTTGAAGGAAAAGGTTTCTGCAGTATGACAGCTCCAATACCAGCTTATCTGCGGGGGTCACAATAGTGATCAGTCAATGTCTACCTGTCTGATTGATCTTGTATCCTGCACATTGGTCAGCTGGGACTGTCTAAAGGTACCACAGACATGACACAGTCACTTGATCCAGCTTTTTTTTTTAGCAATGTAGGTAACCTTTAATCTCATTTCAATAGGTATTATAAATCTGACCTTACATGTGACAATTTTCAGTCAATTTCCACCACTTTGAAGCCACCAGAAATCATAAATATGATTGCAATTATTGGCCAGAAACTCAGCAATCTACCTCCCCCAAAAAGGTCAATTGAGCTCCAGAATGTAGCCGAATGTAGACTCAAAACTGACAGCTTTATTTCAGTTTACTAAAAGTTAGAGTCGAGCAAAGCAGTATAGTGGTAAGTGCTTATGCCTTGAAGCATTAGGGACCCCTGCTTCAAATCCCAGCCATATCACTATCTTCAAGGAGTTTGCATGTTCTCCCTGTGCTTGCATGGATTTCTTCCCATACTGTAAAGACATGCTGGTAGGTTAATTGGCTCTTGTCTAACTAGACCCATGAATGCATCTGAGATAGGGACCTTAGATTGTAAGCTTATTGAGGGCAGGGACTGATATGAATGCGCAGTGTACATTATTGGTGCTAAATGAATACCTATAATAAATGGAATTAAAACTAGAAAAAAAAACTATAACAAATATGTAAAAAGCAATCAGTTTATGGTTGATGAAAACCACCATTTTATTTCTTGATTGCTCTAAACAATTGCCACATATATGACCATCTTTAGTCTTTGCAAAGTACCTGATAATAGAAATTGATGTGTGCAATGAAATGTTTGCTCATGGCTAACTAGCAATTTAAAATATTTGAGCTTTACTCAAAAAGCTCAAGGACATAGGACGTAGGACATGCTTTACATATAAATGTATGTATTTTTTTTTTTCAAAGACCACTGGTATTTAGAGTATAAGAAAAGAATAAAAGGAATAGGCAGATTTGTACAGAGTAAGTTGCAAGCCAGATCAGATTGAACCTGGCCGGGAGGCAAACATTGAATGAGAAAGTGATGTTTTGCTGCATGTTTTCCAAGTGATAAAAATACCTGTCACATTTGCCTGTCCCATCTGTCCCAGTAGAACTGAAGAGTTTAGTAGGAACAGGGGGAAGGTGGTAACTCACATTTGGGAACCAAATAACATTTTTGGCAAGCAGAGATAAGCAGAGATAAAGTCATATATTTAAACCCACCCATACATGAGCCGTGGTGGGAAGACAGATGTCCTGTGAATAAGCTTACTATAAAAGAAATAAAGATTGTGATTTCTGCTAGTCACCAAATAACAGATTTCCAGGAAACAAGTAAAACAATTGCAGTAGTCTACATTACATGGTAGCTATATATTTGTAATGATAGGTTTGTACTGAGAAGGCAGTAATACACACAATAGCTCAGGGAATATTATTGGCTAACCTTACACAGACATAGTGCAAAGTGGAGAGATATGCAGCAATCCATAGAAACAAATCAGAAAACAGATTTCAATAGTTTGAGATACCAGAAAATGGTCCCTGCTTAGTTGCTATTGGTTACTGCTCAACAGTACACAGAAAACCAATGTAAGTACACTGCCTAGCCAAAAAAAAGTCACCACCTGTATTTAGCTAAGCAAATAGGTAATAGCCTTCCATTGGATAATAGGTCTAGGTTCAGCAACGTTATGTCCCCAAAAAGCGAGGTCAGTTGCCTACCTGAATATACTGAGTGACCAGGTTTTTACATCAATGGATTTTTTTCTTCCCTGATATCATGGACATATTTCAAATGACAATGCCAGGATTCATTGGACTCTAATTGTGAAAGAGTGGTTCAGGAAGCATGGGACATCATTTCAAACACATGGACTAGCCACCACAGGGTCCAGACCTTAGCCCATTGAGAATCTTTGGGATGATCTGGAGAAGACTTTACGCAGAGGTCCGACTCTCCCATCATCTTGGTGAAAAATTAATGCAACTCTGGATGGAAATAAATGGTGAGACATTGCATAAGGGTATTAAAACTATGCCTTGGTATTGCATGCCATAATCAAAGGCGGTCCAACAAAATATTAGAGTGTGTGACTTTTTTTTGGCTAGGCGCTATATATTCATAACACACTAGTCTGTACAGTCACATTAAAATATAAGATATATACTAAAGGAAAGAAGGACTGAAATGCAAATAAATGGTGATATTCATTTGATGCAATATATTGAAATGCCTCTTTATAATAACACATTACAGGTGTCACACAAGTCATTCCGGCAATGTTTCATGTATGTCATTAGTGAAAATAATATGCACTTAGTTTTATGGTCATTTTAGTCAAGCAGCTTTGCCTGCTTCTAATTGAACTACTGAAATGAGAAAAAATAACAACAAGGACAGAGTATTAGGATATTCCACAACCTGATGTTTACTATATTACAGGATTGAATCTCAATGTCATAAAATTATGTACTCCTCCATAAGGCCCCGTTCACACCTTTCCGTTTTGTCGGGCGTTCAACGCTCTATGAACGCTCTACAAAACGTACAACCATGAAAATCCCATTGTTTTCTATGGGCAGGGTTCACACCTTTCCGTATTTCCGCCCGTCTGAACGCCCTACAAAACGGCTGACGCCCAAACAAGTACATGTACTTCTTTGGGCCGTTTTGGAGGGCGTTTTCCATTGGGATACAGCCAAGCAGCCTTCGGAATCACGCGTGACGGTCACGCGACAGACGTGCATACGTAAAACGCCTAGGTGTGAACCCAGAGTAAAGGTTATTCTTTACTGCGTATCCACTGGAGTGCATCACCCCTTATCACAAGTACTCTTAAGCTGGTCATACACTACTTGAATTTTAGTCAGTCTGCAGGATTCAACCAAAATTTGATCACTGTGAGACCCCATGGGATCACCCCCACCCCCCCTTCCTGCACACACACACACAAACACTGCGTTCAACAAAAGCTGATTTTTGGCCAATCAGCTGTAGCCACTGTTTGGGTATTCCAACAATGGAACACCATGTTTTATAATATATACTATTTACTAAAACTAACTGTTATGAATTTACTTTAAGAAGCAGACGTAGCTTTTAACCCCAAGAGACAAACCCCCTGGGTAAGCATTAGGGTGAGAACAGCCTCTGTCTGAGGTCTAACAGTTGCTGCCCAGTCAATTGTCTAAATTAATGTTGATAAAGCTTGCCACGCATTACAAAATGCCTGGGCAATCTCCATTAGTGACCGATTATCTTGTGCGAAGGACTACCTACAATCCCTCTAGTTTATATCCAGTCAGTCAAGCTTCCCACTACGTAGTTGTTGACGCTCAATCAAGTTGTAATGTGTATGGCCAGCATAGCACTAGCTATCACATCCTAAAGGAATAATAAGAGAATCAAATAAAGAGATCTCTATTTATTTACATTCCTCTTAATTAAAGGAGTCTATTATGTGTTACTGTTATGCACACTAACAGTATCCGTATACCAATTACATTTTGTTCAAAAATTTGTTTTTTTCGATTTTCTAATAGTTAATGGATCAAATTGACTATCAGTTTTGACAACAGTGTTAAAAAAATGTTTAAGGAGCAGAATGGAAAATGTTTCTGCAGCAAATGTAATTCTAAAAGTTAATGTGGCCAGATGTAGTGTATGGACAATTGTAGGTGACAACATGTGTAATCAACATAAAGGCAGTCGCCATTAGACTTCCAGCCCAATTAAAGTCACATACAACGTAATTCAGCTAAACCATCATTGGACTAGAAATCTATATTTCATAATCCTACCTTCACTTTCCTGGTATTGCAAATGCAGTGCATCTTAATATTCCAGCGCAGTCTACTAGTCACCAGACTTTGACCTTTCTGCTCAGTACAATCTGTAATCTAACAGAACTGGTCACACACACACACTGGACATGCTTGGCATTACAAGTCTTTTTGAGGACAGTTGTGATGACAGGTGTGACCATAGTTCCAGCATAGAGCACTGGAGTGGGAGGAAGGGACGGGATGAGAAGCACAGTTCTACTAAGAGAAAAAGGTATTTTAATGCATTTCCAAATAAAAATGATTTAAAAATCATAACATACTGTACAGCCGTAGCGGACCATAAGAGAAAGTTTGGGCAGGTAGGCATGTCAGGAAACTCAAAAACTGGGATCTCGTCACCAAAGTTTCTTAAAAGATTTAAAGTGCAAACAAAGTCGATTTTTTTAGTTTTGGATAGAGTAGCGAGGGATTAGAACCCCTGTCAGATTTTGTTGCAGGCTGTATCCCCATTAGGGAAATTCACCCTCTCTATTTGTCCTGGTGAAAGAAAACTCCAGATTTTGAGTTGTCACAGAACAGGAAAAGGTAGTAAATCTTCCAATGAGCACACTATTTCTGGTGACCCTGCTGACCACCAGAAATTTCCCTCGCTTTGGAGGGATTTCCTCTCTCTTCCTGCTATGGCTATCAGACAAGAAGTAATGGGAATCCTCCCTAATGGAACACAGATGGAAAAAAAAGCCGACAGGGCATCTCTCTTACTCTATCCAAAACCTACAAAAAAAAGTTTTTGCTTCTGTACTACTTTAAACAACTGTGGACTGACCCTTTAATGCAGGCTGTATAAAGACATTTCAAAATCATGAAATACAAACCAAGGCAGGAACTGTTCTCTGAATTTGGTCCTCGCTGAACGATCTTACATCAAGGTATTTGATTGTGCCTGTAATGCGCCGAGGCGAAATTCGCCATTGTCACCCAAGCGTCTACTGGTGAATGTGAATACATTCTAATGAACAAGACAGCTATAGTAATGTTATGGATTGCCGAGGCTTCAATCAATGACTGTATCCAGCTGTGATTATTGGTGGACTAATGGGCATCCAAGCTCTGATTCACAAACTTGATCATCCAGTGGGAAATAAAGGAACATCAGTGTCAGGGACCTTTCATCTGTACTCCCATTGTGAAGAAAAATGCAATATAATGTATTCAATTGCAAAAGGCACTATTCTGCAATAACATTTTGACCCCCATGTATTGAGGCTATCCAGTGATTGAAGTTGAGCTTCGAAAGACTGAGAGTGCCAGGTGAATTATGGATAAGATTTTTAGCGCAATCAGCTGTGATACTGTTATCCTATTTTTTTTTTTTCCACTGGTAAACAGTATCTTACAACAAATTTGCTCTACCTTCAGCTACGGTGCGTACCCTCAATCAAATTTTACAATTAGCCAACGAGACTTTGAATGGAATGACCAGTTGTTTACATTTAATTGGAAAGACTTTTACAATGAAAGTTCATTTTTCTCCCAAGGTCTTTTAATTTAAAGTAAATTACCAACGTGTCGAATCTGTAAAAGAAGGCATAACCATCTCATGCTTTAATTTGATGCCTTTGGATCCTATTAGGGATGTCCACATACCAGTTCAGATACCAGTGCCGATACTTGGCATTTTCATGAGAACTACCAGGGTTGCACCGGTTGCAGCTGGGACCTGGCTCTGGCGCTCCACCACTGTCCTGAAATCATTAGTCTGTATTGTTTTAGAAAAACTGTCACATGACAATAAACACAAATGTATCAATACTTGTATCTGTGGGGACCTGGACAAGTATCAGTATTTGTACTTGCAAAAATTGTATCGGTGCATCCCTTATATATATTTATTTTAAAAAAAGTAATGCATTAAAATGGGGATGTACAAATCCCAGGAGCTCTGTATGTTCCTTACAAATGACAGCTGCCTCCTAACTTCTGAATTTTTCTCTAGTCTAGTCTTGGAGCTGGAAAAGTATCTGCACTTGTACTTGTACCGAGTACGGTACTTGGTATCTGAACATCCCTAGATCTTATTAATTCAAGATGCCATAGGTGGCAACATTTTAATTTTAGGGAGGCACATAAACACTGAGATTTCCTGCTTAAAGTAGATCTGAACTCTAACTGGATGGTGTTAATGGGCTAATTTATAAGATCCTCATCCAATCCCCATTATTCTACTCAGGGCTCATGAACTGACATTTACAGCCCATTCATAAATTGCAGATTTTGGTGTACAGCTCATGGTGGTTCACAGAGCTCTCTCTCTCTGCTTAATGCAGCACAGAGAGCTCCATGATTGGAGGAGAGGTGGTTCTGTGACTTTAACAAATCACATGATCAGGCGCTCCTCCCATCTTTTTATTTTTTCTACTCCTGCTATGCATATTTTTTGTGCTCTACTGGCTTCAGTCGCCGGAAGCCAGCGGAGCGCAATGCACAACGCTGTGCTTTATAAATGTGCTGCTTTTTACTATCCCCCCATGTTAATCACTGTGTATCACAAACAATTCCATGGTTTTTGTCCATCTAAAATACTGACTTCACTAATAAGTCCGATTTATATTAAACTCTTTTACCTTACGTGTTCATTTTTAACCTACTTGTACTTACCTTACAGTTTGATGGTGTCGGATATATCTTAGTTATCTTTGTATGTTTATGAAAAATTTTCAATAAAAATGCAATGAAAAGAAAATACTGATTTCACATCTTTTGCATCTCAGTGCTGCTGATCTCCTCCAGCCTCTTCCAGCCACTTCTAATCTACATGCATATACTGCACTAGCAGCTGCACATTAATGCTCTGGACCATTTTCCTGATACTGACAATGGCAGATCATGCCTGTGCATCACCATGGCCACCTGTAGTCATGTGTGGCTAGGTGACAACACAGAAGTAAATTGAGAGACAGTTGTCACCCTATAACAAACGGTGCCTAAACAAGGAAATGGCACATTTACTCTGTATTATTTTAATACAAAAGTACACATTTTAAAAGATTGAAAACAACTTTTGGAACTACAGTAACATATAACAGTCTATATGAGATTTTAGTGACTGGATTTTGATCTACTTTAAAGAAGAAATGCAAGGAATGTAAAAATTAACCCTTGCAATGGGGCTACCACTGCACTACAAGGGTTAACTGTTTTCTTTTTTTGTTTGTTTTTTTGTCTAGGGGCTAAAATAAAGAAAATATACTCACCTGATCCTCTGTCCTGCGGGAGTGACTGCTCACCTCTCGCCCCCTCTGCTCTGGTGGTGGAATGTCTGTGGAAGTCTTCAGGTATAATGCAGCTGATGATGACATGATGACATCAAGAGTAATTTGACAGCCAGAGTCCAAGGGGGAAGAGGCTGCAGGGATCGGTCTAGTAGCCAAGCAGGACTAATGATTCTTTATTTCAGCCCCTAGACCATAACGTTCACGCAGTTATCCCTTGCAGTGCGGGGCTCGCCCAATTGCAAGGGTTAATTTTTACATTTCCCTGAGATTTAGAAGCACTTTAAGCTGGTTACCCATAATGGTGTCAAACAGGTCCAATAAGCTACCGCCCATGCTGCCTAAACCAGATGCATTCATTTTCTGTACGTTTCATTGATCACTGGCCAAAACCAGAAACATTTTCAGGGCGGAAATATTCTGTGACCTAAAAAGACTGCGGAAAATCTGGGACTATTGGTAATTAAATCAATAAATAGTGCAAAACCTGCAAAATTTTCCCTTGCAGCAGTATGGATCTTAAGTTGGCCATATACTAATGGAATATTGTTTGAAAAAAAAATATTTTTGGAACATTCATTCAATTTTCTAATAGTTAATGGAATCAAATAGGTGACCCTTGCGATAGTGATAAAAAAAATGATCGTAGGAGCAGGATGAAAGATTTTTTCAAACAAACAAAATTATAATAGTGAATGTGTTTGAGAAATTCTTTTAATTCCCAAAAAATTAAAAAAGTGTTAAAATTAATCAAAATTTTCGAGCCACATTTGTCATATCTCTGATGTCATTATCGAATGTTCTGGCACCATTTTTCCCAGAAAGGTTCGTACAAGAATCTACCAGCTTTAAAAGCAGTTTTGTGTTCTCAATAAATAAATAATTTTATCAGAACTGGTAAGCTGTTAATGTGACTGTCGGTTATATGAATCTCATTCTACTAATCACACTATTCTTTGCTCCTTTAGCACAGCCCGGATGCAGCTCACCGAGCCAATCAGAAAGAGGTTTCATCTTCACATTACTATCATTTTAGTTAATTAATTGAGCCCCTGGAAGAGTCTCAGTGTAAATATCATTTTAGCAGTTTAATAACAGCGCTGACTCACTTTGAGCTCCTACTGAAGCTAAGCACAGCAGACTTCTCGTTGGCAAGTGCGTCACCTACTGGCAAGTAGTGTCTAATGCAAAGGATTGTGTGCAATGGAATGAATTTGTTTTCTGCTGAATTGCTGGTGCACAAGGAACGCAGTGAACAAGGCGGAAGTGAAGCTATTGTGTGATGTTTAAAAGTTGGTTATTTTCTGCAGCAATTACAGGGGCATGACATTAACTTGCTTCATTGAGAATGGAAAGCTAGGATTGGCAAGCCCCCTTTTTATTTTAGCACATGCAAGATACCCAGAAGAAGAATAATTCACATCTGTACTGTATGAAAATGTAGGCTAAGATTAGTGATTTGAGATTAAGCCACCATTTACACCTGAGCATTTTGTTATGTGTTAAAGTGACATTAAAGGATAAAATCCCCCCCCCACACCCAAATGTTAGTGTAAGGACTTACCTTAAAGGGTTAATAAACCCTCACGTGTTTTTGCATATATCTACTGCTAATAAGCAGTGATATATGCAAAAACATTTTTTTTAAATACTTTTAAAAAGGGTTTAAACTTACCTGTGTTTTCGCTGAGCACTCCTGTCGAAACATCTGAAAATTTCTCGGGTGGCCGCAAATGGGGGGGGGGATTTGACTTTAATGTCACTTTAAATGATGCCTCTTGATCCGATCATCTTCTTCTTTCTTGTAGTTTTCAGCTGTCCCTCCAGCGCTGGAGCAGGTCTCAGATCCAGCACTGACTCCTCTGTCTTAACTGGCACTTCCTGTCCCACGGAGTCCATGTGGGCGCACGCTGCTACATATACTTACCTTGTGTCTCTTTTCGTCTCCCGGCTGAAGATCTGAACTGCACATGTGCCCAAGATCCTTTGCAGCCGCCCGAGAATCTTCAGATGTTCGGATGGCAGTGCGCGTCGAACACACAGGTAGGTTTAAAAACTTTTTAAAAGTTTTTTTTACTGCTTTTGCACATATCTACTGCTTGCCAGCAGTAGATATATGCAAAAAACGCTGAGGGCTTAATAACCCTTTAAGTGTGACAATGCTCAACATATAGAATTCCATTATTTTCAATGGTGCCTGTTCACACCTGAGCATGGTGTCGTCTGTCTTTTCGCACACAATCGTGCATTTTTGACCCCCACAGACTTCAATGGTAGTGCCTGGAAAGCGCACATAACTTGCATTTTTCGAGTAATGTACCTAACAATCATCTCCTCCTTATAGTAACTAGCTTTCCATTGGCTAAAACAAAACTGCTCAATCCTTACAACCACTGAACAAAGTGCAAATAAAAAAAGCTGCTAAAATGCCTGAAAATGAATACACTGAGGTGGGACTAAAAGCAGTTTAAAGCAGTTTAAACATAGACATGTCATGTGTAAAATTCTGTGATTATGAAATACTTACACTTGCAGAGCATTCACTTCCTGCTTTCAAAAGGCAAAATTACTTCAGTTTGGTAAAGCAATGCACACTGGTAAGGTTACATCAGCAGAGCATTGCTGGGAAATCTCATCTCTAATCTCACGAGATCTCAGGGAAAGGCTTTTTCCTCTCCGTGATGATGTGCATGGCCACATGTCCTAGTCACATGTCTAGTAGACATGTGCACTGCCAAAAAATTCGTTTCGTTTCGTTTTAAATTCGGATTTGTGTTATTTTGTTTTTCGGGATTCGGGTGTGAAAGTCAATTCGGATTCGGAATTCGGATTCGGACGAAATTCGGTAGCGGTAGTTCGAACGTTCGTTTCGTTTTTGGTTCTTATTCGTTTCTTATTCGTTTCGTTCGTTCGTTTGCAGCAAAGTGACATTTGAGAGGGAAAAAATGTTTTTCTCCTTCTCTAATGTCACTTTGCTCCAACGAACTAAACGAATAAGAAACGAATAAGAAACGAATAAGAAACGAACGTTCGAACTACCGCTACCGAATTTCGGAAATGGAAATTCGGATTCGTTTGCATTCGTTATGTCTGTAATTCGGAATTCGGATACATCCGAATGTCCGAATTTCCGAAAAATTTGTCCGAATTTCGATTCGGAATGAAACGAATCGCACATGTCTAATGTCTAGTCACATGTGCCAGTAATCCAGGAAGTAATAGGAGAGGTAATATTCTACTCTAAATATGGCCACTGCCAGAAGACTGGGGAAGAAAAGAGAAATACGATATGCAAAGAGTACAAAGCCTGCAATTATCTAGACATATGTGTTTGTAGATTGTCATTACTAAACATTTCTAAAGGTGTGTTTGTTGTTGTTTTAAGATAGGGCTAAAGGTATGGAGGTATCTAAAAAAAAGTCCTTGTTACCCACATCAACCATCAAGATTCTCCCTGGTTCTCTAAATTGTACAATGGAAGTAAAAGAAGGAGATCCTGATCGACTAATATGGGCAATACTGTTTGTTTACCCACTTGGCTTGACATCATACATATACAGTGCCTATTACTTATTTATTATTTCCCTAGGCTATTTTTACATATTTAGCATAAAAAAAGGTTCAATATAAGAATATGTTCCTCTAATCATAGATATAATGCTAGTACTACTCATCTACCTATTTCATGCTACATTGATAGAAATAATGACTTCAAATTACAGGTTTTCTAAGGCACATCATATAGGAATGACTATGACAGTCATGTTTACCATAATACAATCAGAATGTCTGCAGTACAGGGTTTGCTACACTCCAACTGACTTATGGACAATCATAGATCCATATTGCCCAGAACAATGACAGAGCATTGGTGACACAGGCTCCGTTATATTGCAACTACCTCATTTTCATATACTTTACATTCTTAAACAATAAGGGATCACAAAGTGTTAAAGTGATCCGAACAGATCGCTATCACTTTACACGTGCCAGTGTTTCTTGCTCAAGGTGCTGACAGTAGTCGTTTGCATAGTGCTCAAAGCAGGTGTATTTACTAAGTTAATTTGAGATTCTGCTGAATCCTGATGCTTGAAAGACAATTAAGTTAGCAAAGTTTTATTGAATACCTAGGTTATCCTTTGGGTTCAAACCCACATATCTAATCTACAAATTATCTGCATGGCTTGTTCTTCCTTTCTTACAGTGGTAGTAGCTATATTCTAGTTTATTAGACCATATCAGTTAGGTCAGCCTTTCTCAACCAGGGTGCTGTGTGGCTTCCTCAGGAGTGCCTTGAAATTTTGCAGTGGTAGGACTGAGGACTCAGTGATGGGGGCTTCTGATGTGAAGTGGGAAATCTAATATACAGAGGAGACTCGGATGTGTAGGGGGGCTTCTGATGTTAAGAAGGCTCCTGATGTGAAGAGGGGGGCTTGTGATGTGAAGGCGGGACTCTAATGTGAAAGAGGGCCACTCTGATGTGAAAAAGAGGGACTCTGATGGGAAAAGGGCGATTCTGATGTGAAGAGGAGCTCCTGATTTGAAGGGAGGACTTTGTGTGTTTTGTGTGTGGGCATTAAAATCCATGACATTTTAGACTAGGGTGCCCCCAGATTTTGCATACTTTTAAAGGGTGCTGTGACTGAAAAAGGTTGAGAAACACTGAGTTAGTTGATGCCTTGCAGTGCCACCCATTTTCAATGGCAACCCAATGCATGAAGTCAGTGCACCTACAATGCACTTGATCCCAGGGTGCCATAATGCCCGGTAACACACCGTTATCCACTGTGATTGTGCCGTGGCAGAAAAAATAGTGCATGTCCGATTTTTCATCTGTTCAAATGAATGAGCTGCCTTACCGCAACGCACATGAGTTAACATACTGCAACTGACCTCTTAGATCTGGGCGTGCCCTAAAAATGTCTGCCTTTTAACAAATATTTTTACTACGGATGCACCAATACCGATACTAGAATCACGATACCGAAACTCTCCCTCTGACCGGCAGTTCCGCAAGGGAACATGGAGCCGGCTTCCTGGCCAATCAGGAACCCGTGCCGCGGGTAATGACCTGCCTCCGGGGTTACTGATTGGCCTGGGAAGCCGTCTCCATACTGATTGGCTGGGATGCTGGCTTCCCAGCCAAGCAGCATCAAGCTGACCAAACAGCATGGAGACGGCTTCCCGGGCAATCAGGAAGCCGGACAGCAGGTAATGACACGCTGCCTGCATTCCTGATTGCCCGGGAAGCCTGCCCCATGCTAACGGAAGTACCAGAGTCAGTACTCGGTATCGGCGAGTACCGAAGTATACCGGTACTTGTACTCGATACCAAAAAACAGGTATCGGTGCATTCCTAATATTTACAGATTTGCCTATGAACTGACTTATATTTAACAGTTGTGGGGATTGTGGAGAGTAATCATGAGAATTGCTGAAGCTAACACACAATAATACTCATTTTTAGTGTAGCCCAATTAGTGAACTGTACAGTGCAAAAGAAGGTGAACATATAATGCATGTCATATGTTGCCTTCTATAAAATCCCATTTTAGAGAGCAGTTTCAGGCAAAAGATGAAGTGAAATAGTGAAGTGCCAATGATATTCAGCAAACCGTGCAGCTGTGCTAAAGCCAGAAAGCCCTCACAATTTGTTTTAATATGAATTCTTTACTGGTTAATGTGAGGAGGGAGTAAAGGAATGAGAAAGCCTTCCAACCAAATCAGTGCATAGAACAATAGGTCCTCATCTCAGGAAAGAGGGCATGGCCATGCAAATTATTCTTTTATACTCCAACAGCTAAGTGAACATCCAGTTTCTGGTGTATGGTGAAAATATACAATAGAAATGGGGACATGCCTATGCTCAAATCCAAAACTTACATATAATACGTAAGGTGCTAAAGGCCACATGTTAACAACATTCTTAATTAATGTAATGTAGCTACGTAGGTGCGCTCCCCCCCATCCATAGCTTCTTTGCTATCTGCTGTTTAATTTTTAGTATTCTGACAGCGTCTAATCATCAGAATAATAATTTAAAAAAAGCATAGGAATGCGTAGCTAGATTGCTATTGGCTATTTCAATTTCAATTTGCAATATCCAATAGCAAGCTGGCTATTGCACCCCCCCCCCCCTCTGCTGCTGTCAAACACTAGAAGAGGACCTGATGGAGAACTTCAGGTCCCCTCTGCTGATTGACAGCAGCAGTGGGCGGGTGCAATAGCTAGTCTGCTATTGGCTATTGCAAAGTGCAGTAGCCAATAGTAATCTAGCAATGCATTCCTATGGCCAAATTTTTATTTTATTTTTTTTTATTGTCAGAAAAAAAAGGTTCGCTCTGGCAGAGTAAACCTTTCCAGGAGAAAATGTTTCTCTCTTGGGCAGCTATCTAATAGTGGGAGACTCCCGGAGCGTCCGGGAGAGATGGGATGTCTGCTGTTGTCAACCCATACATTGTTTGAAACGATTCTGGATCATTGAGACCTGATGCACTAGAGTTCATGCTAGAGGCTTAAGCTGAGAAAGAGCATGAGAAGGTATTCTTTAGACCTGAAGAAGAAACAAAAGGCTCAAAGTCTTGTGGAGACATCTTCTACAGCCTCCTGAGGTTACAGTGAGACCCTGGGGAAAACCATCTGAGCCTATAGAGCATAGAGAAAATGTTTCTCTCTTGGGCAGCTATCTAATAGTGGGAGACTCCCGGAGCGTCCGGGAGAGATGGGATGTCTGCTGTTGTCAACCCATACATTGTTTGAAACGATTCTGGATCATTGAGACCTGATGCACTAGAGTTCATGCTAGAGGCTTAAGCTGAGAAAGAGCATGAGAAGGTATTCTTTAGACCTGAAGAAGAAACAAAAGGCTCAAAGTCTTGTGGAGACATCTTCTACAGCCTCCTGAGGTTACAGTGAGACCCTGGGGAAAACCATCTGAGCCTATAGAGCAAAGAGTCAAGCAACAGATCTGACCCCCAATGAGATTAATGTACAACTCAGTCATACGGAAAACAGTTCCAAAAAACCATTATCACGGTACGCAGATCCACTGATGCTCAGGTGCACCAAGCCACTGGGAGAGGAAGAAGGAGCTCTGTGTCCCAGGATTAAGCCCTGGGACGCATGAGCCAGGTGGCCAATCTGAGAATAGAGTCACTAGGCAACAGAGAGAAACCAGAGGACAGAGTTGCCTAACCCTACTCAGACTCCTGCATCAGGAAAGCTGCTGTTTGGACCAAGAGAGGTAGAAGCTTCAGGGGAAACCTGCCAGAGGCATTGCCTCTTACCCCCCATCTGCCTACATTCAAAGGACAATCATCAGATGTTGGATTGGTGAGCGGCCTTTAACCACCTGTGTTTTGAACTTCCATCACAGCTGCTGCGATGAAACTTTATTTAAAGGGGAATTCCTTGCTCTTCCACTGTCAGTTGTTTCAGGACACTTTGCAAAGATACCGTTACCCCAAGTGGATTACAAAAACCTTTATTTGAATTTTTGTTTAAGGTGAGTTTGAAGGACCTCACTGCCAGCAGACTCTGTGGCATATTTACCCACTGGCCAGTGGCTAG